CCGTGTCGGAGGCAGAGAGGGGGCCAGAGCCGTATGCCAGTTATCAGCTGCCTTCAGAATCAGGCATCAGTGAGGAAGATGAACAGCTGGAGCCTGTTCCCAGTGTGTGCATGCACAGAGTTGCCAGATGAAGGGACCAGCTAAAGAACAGGGGTCGACTTGGGAGTATGGCCACAGGTGGACAATGAATGGCCCCTCCCAGAGGGAATAAAAGAGGAGCGGAAGGGGAGTGGAGTTTGCAGGAGACAATTAGTTTGCTTAATTGGTTTGTGACTCTCCAAGACTACTTGCCAAGTTTTGTAGATCTCGGCCTGGCAGCTCTCCAAGCCAGAGAAGGTCTGTGACTGTAAATCCTCCCTCGAAAGACTTTGCTGGTTGTAAAGGAGCAGAATTCACAGACAATTAATAAAAGGGGTTTTTGTCAAGACAAGGAGTTTGCTTCAGGCTCTTGGGAAGCCTCGGTCAGAACAGCGGCCAGATTTGACCAGGCATTGAATTTTCCTTCTTCTTTTGCTCTTACGTGGTCAGATGGTGGACATAGCCCAGAGGCTGGGCGCTTCCTTACAGCTCGGAGAGGTTGCGATCTGGAATAAACCCGGTAAAGACTCAAAACTGAAGCCACGAGGGGCTGCACCCAGTGCGCAGCCATTGGGTTCCAATCAAGCTCTGGGGCAGGCCATGTCTTCTGCGGCTGGCTACGCAAAGACCATGAGTCAAGGTAGGTCTTCGGGCCCTCGTTGACTTAAGCAGAATCCATCCTGCCTTCTCGGTTCTTCTCAAGAAGTCCAAGAAGTAGGAGCTACTCAATCAAGCTTGGCTCCTGACATAACTTGGCAATGGTTGGTTTAAACTTTAAGACTTTGGCACATCTGGGGAATTCTGGGAGTTGAAGTCTACGGGTCTTAAAGTTGCCAAGTTTGGAGAACCCTGGTTTAGCCACACCTTTGTATCTAGTGTTTCTCCTGCCTAGATTAAAAGGAAGGGTGATCATAACTAGAGATAGGAAGAGCATTATATCTTGATTCCATAGCTGTGTCTTCTCCTTCATATCAGTTATTTATTTATCTACTTCGATTGGGAGCTGCCCGGATTGAAAGATGGGTGGCTATATAAGTGTTTAAAACAAATAACTATTTACATCACATCACCTCCCATCTCACAAAAGTGACTCCAGGCAGCATAAGGTAAAGGTAAAAGTTTCCCCTGGCACATATGTGCTAGTCGTTCCCGACTCTAGAAAGGTGGTGCTCATCTCCGTTTCGAAGTTAAAGAGCCAGCGCTGTCCAAAGACGTCTCCATGTTCATGTGGCTGGCATGACTAAATGCCAAAGGGACACGGAATGCTGTTACCTTCCCACCAAAGGTGGGTCCTATTTTTCTACTTGAATTTGTATGTGCTTTCGAACTGCTAGGTTGGCAGAAACTGGGACAAGCAACGGGAGCTCACTCCGTTACACAGCGCTAGGGGTTCGAACCACCGAACTGCCCACCTTTCTGATCGACAAACTCAACGTCTTAGCCGGCAGCATAGAAGGGTTAAAAACCACAACAGTTTAAGCACAACTGGGGCCACAAGCACAACAGGGGTCAAAAAAACATTAAGCAGCAGAACTCTTCCCCCAAATAAGGGGAAGGATAAGAGGGAAAAACCTCCGATGAAATCTCGGCTTCGCAGAAGGGAACTTTTTAATTAAAGGAGGAAGCAAATAAAAGAAAAAGGGAGGCGGGGCAGAATGAGAAAGTGGAAAAATTCTTCACTGACTAGAAAGCCCTAATTGTGTCCTTCCGTGCACCCCCCTCTCTGAGGGTGATGGGCGGTTAAGAAATGCAAAATATAAACTAATCCTAAAGGGACATCCAGATGTCTCCAACATCTGTGGCAATTTAGGTCCTTTGCCATATTTCCGGTCCTTTGGTAATAGAAAGCATAACAGATCCATAAAATAAACATAAGTGGCAGAGATCAGGAACGAAGGATAGGAATGTTGACCTTCCAGCATCATAAAAGAAGCGGTAATATCAGTACGTGTTTCACCGCTTTGTAACCGGAAGCGAAGGATATTGGTATCACTGCTTTGTGCTCTCTCTCCTCCTCCAGTTATTGGAAGCTCAACAACACACCTGGCAAAGGTTCCTACCGTACCTTTGGCCCCTAAACCCGACGAACCTCCTCCTCCTCCTGAGGAACTCTCGTCTACTCTAAAACCGCAGGAGCAAACTCAACCCATCGCACAAGCCGAGGAATCTTGAAGAGAGGGCCAACTTGGAACTGCCTATTCAACCTATTGGATGCATAGGGACAAAGTGCATTTCGCGTCCTACAAACTTTGCACCAGACCAAAGAGTGCAGCAGTCCTCTTGCTCACAATTAGCTGAGCAGATCCTCAGAAGTTGGGTGGTTTTCTGAACATTCCACGCGTCGGCTAATGAAAGATAGGGGCAAGGTTTGAGTAGCTTTCCCTGGACCTTCCCAACAGGAAGAGAAGTGAGTTTATTAAGTTTCTACTACGAGATGTCTATAGATTTTTGAGAGTAGTAAGCCCTTTGTAGTTTAATATTTTTCTAGTGAGGCCGAGTTACTTTTTTGGTTGCATTACGAGCCGTGGTGGCACAGTGGTTAGAATGCGGTGTTGCAGGCTAATTCTGCTGACTGCCATCAGTTCGATCCTGACCGGCTCAAGGTTGACTCAGCCTTCCATCCTTTCTGAGGTCGGTAAAATGAGGACCCAGATTGTTGGGGGGCAATATGCTGACTCTGTTAACTGCTTATAGAGGGCTGTAAAGCTCTGTGAAGTGGTATATAAATCCATGTGCTATTGCCCTTCCTTCTTTCCTTCCATCCATCCATCCATGATGTGCAGTTAGAATGCAGCATTGCAGTCTAATTCTGCCCACTGCCAACAGTTCGATGCTGACCAGCTCAAGGTTGACTCAGCCTTCCATCCTTCCGAGGTGGGTAAAATGAGGACCCAGATTGTTGGGGGCAAGAGGCTGGCTCTGTAAACCGCTTAGAGGGGGCTATAAAAGCCCTGCGAAGCGGTATATAAGCGTGCTATTGCTAGTGTGAGTTCTGGACTCGTCACCCAACTGTTCTGTTGAATGGCAACCAGAGGGATCTATTTGTATATTCTGCAAATAACTTTGGGTAGAATCCAGCTGCTTTTGTATGACTTCTGTTTTTCCTGCCGCTTTGAACCCCGTGGAAGCACCTAAGAGAGGAGCAGATTTCATCTTCCTTCACCAATCCCTTGATGGTGGAATTTACTACTAGATGATATTCATAGTAGAGAAGTACGTATGTGCTCGCTTCGGCAGAACATATACTAAAATTGAGAAGTATGTGTATCGGATGAGTTAAGGTTTTTTTTTGTATAAATAAAAAATGTGATGAATTAACTAAAATCCCTTCTATATATTATTTTCCCCATGTTATTGAACTCACATACATACAAACATATATACATACATACATAAACAGCTCTGTGTGTGGTGTGTGTGTGTATGTGTGTTCCAGCATAACTGTGGAACGCTTCAAGCAATTTCAAGCAAACTTGGTACACAGATGACTTAACTCTCTGGAAAAAAACACTGTGGGGGTAAAACCCCTAAAACCTCTCAGGGTGTGTGTTCTGTTAAGATGCAGCCTGTTGTGCCTTCAAATGGCTTCTACCGTACTGCCGTAAAATGGTTTCTAGTGTACAGTGCAGTGGAGTTGCCATGGTAATGGCTCTACAGTACTCCACGAGAAGGCTCCCTCTGATTAAGGGGGGAAATCCAACATTAGAAACTACGTTTGCTCCGGACATTTTCCCACTATAAATACCCGGAAAACGCCAGGTTATCAGCTAGTTGTGAATATAGTAAGGTCATTAGGCTAGTGCACAACCAGAAGTAGCTGTGGGGCACGTGTGTGTATCA